TTTTTTTTTTTTTTTTTTTTGAGAGAAAGCGTGTGCATGCATGCAGGGAAGGAGCAGAGAGAGAGAGAGAGAGAGAGAGAGAGAGATTGAGAATATTAAGCAGGCTCCATGCCTAGTGCAGAGCCTGATGCAGGGCCTGACATGGGGTTCGATCTCATGACCGTGAGATCATGACCTGAGCTGAAATCAAGAGTCAGACACTTAACCAACTGAGCCACCCAGGTGTCCCTTTCCTGAATGTAACTTGCCAACATGATGCTTCTTTACTCATATTTTATAAAAACAAGGATATTCTCTTGCATAATCACAGTATAATTATGAAAGCCAAGAAAACAGCATTGATATTACACTATAATCTACAATCTTATTCAGATTCCACCAATTGTCTTTTTTTTTTTTTTTTTTTACAAATCCATAAAATGATGATGTAGATTAGGTTGTCCTTAGGATCCCCTCATTTCATGCTAATGCTTCGTGATTCTGCAAGACTGCATCTTTACCTCCAGTCCTAAAACTCCAGATGAGTCTCCAGTGTGCATGCAGACGTTCTAAGCCAGAGCACAGAATTCAAGACACTGGGCCCTCGGGCGGGAATGGGGCAAGCCACATGTCTCTACCCACACTCATCTCTCTTTAGAACTCTTACCACCTCACTGAGATGCTCTACAACAGGTGTCATTGGCCTAACCCAACACCTCCTGGAATACTTGGGGTCTGCTCTCAGTCTATACACAGATGCACTAAAGGGAAATAAGGACTAGAACTGTTCCCCCAACCATCCAAGCAGAACTGTACCAACACTTTTTAGTCAAAATCACTCAGCGCAAAGGTCACAGTGTGCCTGGTGACAGGCTACTGGGCACATGTTCAAGGTAAGAAAAGGTCACTGAAGGATACCACAGATCAAATGGGAAAGACACATTCCCTGTGGAGTCCTTCATTCACCTGGTTAGGTTTGATTGAAGAAGCTCCAGGATAGACACAGAAAAGTGGTTACATTCTGGAGACTAACAGAGTATTTCAGAAACACAAAGTCCACCTCACCTGGCATCTGTCAGTTGGAGACACAGCGGCCATTCCCTCCTGTGTGCTCTCCTTGTAGAAAAGGGCAGAGTCCTAATGAGGAAGAGGTACGGGATGAGAACGTCGGTATGAGAAAGACTAGTCTTGTAGTTTTCTGACCCATAAAGCAGGAAATCTCCAAATACCAGTGAGTCATATGCCCATTCTCATTCCTGATACCCTACAAAAAGGGAAGACAAAGCAAAGGAAGGCCAGGAGCAACCCCACCCCACCCCAGAACTGGAGCGAACGACCACAGATATTACTATTCAGGATACAATGTGGGACTTGTTTTACTATGATCCCACGGGAGAAGTTCTGTTCCTGGGAACCAAGAACGTATTAAGCTTATACTGTATTTATAAGGTCACATTCACTATTGCCCTGATAGCTACCAGATAAAAAGTCCAAGAAATTTTATAAATGATTATATGGATAAGATGTGTCAAGTAAACACCCATAGTCTCTTTAAGAGAAAAATAACCCATTCACGACCCCGTGCTCCAGGAGCAGCACTTGGACAGCCATGTTTTGTTCTGCATGATGCTGCGTCTCACTCCGGAAGCCACACTGATTTAGGTCTCAGGTGGGCAATGTGCAGGTTGACCAGTAGACTGAGATGCAATCTAGCTTGAAAAGGTGACATCCTTCCTCAGGAATGTGAACTAAGAAATGTCAGGACAACAGGTGGGTGATGAGCTGAAAGGATATCATGAGGGACGGAAGTAGCCATGAGGATCAGGGGAGGCCAAGTCACCAAGAAGCAGAGCCAGTGAGTACATGGGAGGCACGATATGGTAAGACTAGACATGGGTCAGGGGAAGAAAAGCCTGCTCACATCAGCAGTGGAGCAAAGACCTAAGAGTTTTTTACTGGCTTTGAAGTCCCTCAATTCATGTAGGACCATCTCTGGGCTCCAGTTTGCATATAGACCAGCCTTATTTATTCTTGGATTTCCATAAGACTCTAAACCTCTTAGGCTTTGTGTGAATCCTTATCAGTAAACTCCCTTTACTTGAGTTAGCTCAGTAGGTCTCAGTTTCCCACAGTCAGGAGTCTAATTAAACACAGTTGAATCAAGCATTCTTGGGATTCATGAGTGGTATGGGAAGTGTGGTCCTGGGAAGAAGGAGGAAAAGAGATGGCCCACTGACTATTCTCCTGTAGTCAAGGGAATATATGTTCTGATCTTTGGTATTCATTCATTCGTCTACTAACATTTATTTAGCACCAACTTTTTATACCAAAGACAAAAACTATAGGACAGTGTCTTTGTCCTCCAAAAGCTTATAGTCTAGAACACAGGCCAAAAGAGTAACCCAAATAATGAGTCACTACAGGATGGATACGTACTATAAAGAGATACCTGAAGAGTGTCCATCAGGGGCTTGCCTAATGCCGATAGGAGCTGTAGGTTCCTTGGCAGAAGCAGGATCTAAGATAAGTTTTGATCTGGGTGGGGAGGAGGTGGAACATTCTAGGTAAGAAAAATATCAAGTTTTTAAAAAAAAAAAAAACGAGGAGATGGGTCTTTACACGGAAAAGATGAACAACTGTAAGTAGTTTAGAATGGAAGAAGTCTAGGCTGTGAGTAGTGCTGTAAGGAAAGATGAGACTGGAGAAGTGGGCAGAGGCCAGGTAGATCAAGGACAATGTTGCATGGGCCCATACACAGAGGAAGGACCACAGCCATGGAGACCACTGAGGATTAAACATGGAAGGGTTATCATCAGATTTGTGTTTTAGAAAAATCATTGCGATTGGTATCATAGGCCTTGGAATACACATGCTCTTTGGCTCAGCAACCCTCTCCTAGGAGTTTGTCCTAAAGAAATAAGTGAGAATATATGCAAAGTTTTTCTTAGTCATCATTAACACTAACCTTTACTGAGGTGTTACATGTGGTAACTTTTGAAGCACTTTACATGTAGTATCTCATTTAATCCTTAAAATACAGGAAAAATTTGAAATATCCTAAGTTTCTACAACAGAAGATATGATTAAATAATTTGTGATCCAGCCCATCCATACACTGTAATACCATTTAACATCATAGTAACCAGCATTTATTGAGCATTTGCTATTCACCAGGCACTGTGCTAAGCACTCTTTTTTTTTTTAAGTTTATTTATTTATTTTGAGAGAGAGAAAGCACACGCAAGTGGGGGAGGGGCAGAGAGGGAGAGAGAGCATTCCAAACAGGCTCCGAGCTGTCAGCACTGAGCCCAATGCAGGGCTCGAACCCATGAACTGTGAGATCATGACCTGAGTTGAAATCAAGAGTCAGATGCTTAGGGTGCTCAGTCGATTGAGCGACCGACTTTGGCGCAGGTCATGATGTCAGGGTTCATGAGTTTGAGCCTCACATCGGGCTCTGTGCTGACATCTCAGAGCCTGGAGCCTGCTTCAGATTCTGTGTCTCCCTCTCTTTCTGCCCCTCCTCCACTCACATCCTTTCTCAAAAATAAAATAAACATAAAAAAAAAAAACTGACTGAGCCACCCATGTGGCCCTGCTAAGCACTCTTTCTAAGGATAATTTAATTCCATCCTCATAAATCAATAAGGTAGGTACAATATTACAGATTAGTGAAGTTAAGGCTTTGTAAGAGGCTGAAGTAGAATTTGAACCCAGGTCTGTCAATCAGCTTTCAATCTCTATGCTATGTGATTTTTATTTTCATGAAAAAATAACCACATAGATAACAGACTAATAGACTAGAATGAAAAATCTGCAAACGTATCCAGACATGTAGAGAAGCTTGATATACAACTGAGGTGGCATTACAAATCACCAAGGAGGGCCGCCTGGCTGGCTCAGCCACTAGAGCATGCAACTCTTGATCTCAGGGTTGTGAGTTCAAGCCCCACATTGGGCATGGAGTCTATTTAAAACAAAAAGTCACCAAGGAAAAGATCACTAGTGATAAACTGCAAACGACTTAAATGTTCATCAGTAGGATAAACTGTGATTATATGTGTGTGAGTTTATGTGTATAGGAATATTACACATTGATTAAGATGAATGGAGTAGAGCTGTATGTTGATAGAGATAAATCACAGAATTACTGAGCAAAAAATAAGAAAGCTTTAGAATTACTGTGTAGTATTTATACAAAACTTAAAAACAGGTAAATAATATCTACAAAAATCTATATGGGGGGGGGCACCTGGGTGGTTCAGTTAGTTCAGCATCTGACTTTGGCTCAGGTCATGATCTCATGGTTCATGAGTCTGAGCCCCATGTCAGCCCCTGTGCTGTCAGCACAGAGCTTGGAGCCTGCTTCAGATTCTGTCTCCCTCTCTCTCTCTCTGCCCTTCCCCCCCCTCGTGCATGCTCTCGCTCTCCCTCAAAAATAAATAGACATTAAAAAAGGGAAATAATCCTTAAATATTAAAAAAAAAGTCTATATGAGACAATAAGTACCAAATTGTGAGTTATCCCTGGGGAGGGAGGGATATGGGATTGGTACAGATAACCAGGAGAGTTCAACTTTGTGATGTTTATTTAAAAAAGTTTTTTTTTTTCCTGTGGAAATGTGCAATGAAATTTTTATTTTAATTCATTTTTTAATATATGAAATTTATTGTCAAATTGGTTTCCATACAACACCCAGTGCTCATCCGAAAAGATGCCCTCTTCAATGCTCATCACCTACTCTCCCCTCCCTCCCACCCTAAAAAAGTTTTTCAAACAAATTCACAAATATTAAGAATGCACACTTAGGGGCGCCTTGGTGGCTCAGTCAGTCAAGTGTCTGACTCTTGATTTCTGCTCAGGTCATGATCTCAGTGTTTGTGGAATCGAGCCCTACACTGGGCTCTGCACTGACTGTGCAGAGCCTGCTTTGGATTCTCTCTCTCCCCCCTCTCTCCTCCTCTCTCTCTCTCTCTCTCTGCCCTCCCCCACTTGTGCTCTTGCTCAAATATCAATTAACTTTAAACGAAAAAAAAGAATGCACACTTAAAATTACTTATTTGTGTATGCACATGTGTATAGAAAAAAGACTGAAAGAATGTATACTAAAATGTAAATGGAATTTGACTGGTGGAATTGTAAGTGATTTTATTCTATTTCTTACAATTCTTTACATTCTAATTTTTGTTTTTACAAGAGTACGTATTTACTTTGGTGTACAGGAAAAATAACAGGAAGGAAAGGTGGTGTACAGAAAAGTTACAAAGCAGACCCGAGACTGCTACTCTTAGAAAGGTCTACTTGTGAGACTGACCCTTGGCTGGGGTCTGGGAACTTAGATTTTGGGAGGGTTCCCTAAAAGAGAAGGGTGGTCCATTGCCTAAATGATTTGGGTCCATGCCTAAATGATTTGTGCAAACAATGCGGTTTATGCTGGATGCTTGCTTTCCTGCTAGACGCTCTGGAATTTTGGTAGGTGTTAGGCAGAGGGTGCCTACCTGACCTGCCCTCAATAAAAAATAACTTGGGCTCTGAGTCTCTAATGAGCTCTTTTGGGCTGGAACATCACACACATGTTGTTGCATTTTCATTGCTAGAGAGGATGTGTTCTGTGTGACCCCTCCTGGCAGGGAGAGAACACAAGAAAGCCTGCCTATGAATTCCTCCAGATTCTACCTCTCTTCCCCTTATGACCTAGCTGTGCATCCTTGCAAGATCGGTCATCATCTTAGACATGAGTGCAACTATAGGCTGAGTCCCACATCCTTCCGGCAAATCCTTGAATGTGGGGTGATCTTGGAGACCTCTGACACAGGCAGCCATGCCACTCTGGAAGCTGCAGCAGAATGGGACCAGAGGAGGGCAAAAATGGAGGTAAGGAAGAACCAGTGAGGAATCTCATAATTGAGTAAAAATGAAGAAAAACTGAACAAAAGCAGTGGCAGCAGAAATGGAAAGAAGGGGAACTACTGACAAGACATGAAGAACAGACAACAGACTGACTGGAAGTGGAGGCCGAAGGTGATGGGAGAGGCAAGGATGACTTATGACTTCCAGGTCACTCATTTGCACAACGCTGTGCATAATGCTACCATTCG